GGGCAGTGTTTCGTTCTGCTGTGCATGGGGTTGCTATGAGTCGGAAATGACTTGACGGCACTCAACAACAACAACAACATGCCACCAGAGCTCCCATAGTATAATCAATCAGGTGTGATTAAAGAGTTATCCAGGGAGTTCAGATATAGCCTAAGGGTCTTAATAGAAGCTCTATATCACTGCAACATTTCTTACAGTGAAAAAATTTATAAAGATAACATTGAGTTGTTTTAATTTATTTCTGGAGGGCAGATGCCTCCTACATTAAGAGATTAAAATACAAAAATTTGGTTTTTTGAAGGGTAGGAATTGATTTTTGCTTTAAATTTTGTATTTTTCACAAAGAATATAGAGACTGTGTTTAGTCCCTTGCAATATTTCATGTTTTCATATTCCGTATACTAATGTCAGAACTGCCTATAAATCCATAAAATTAAGTACAAGGAAAAAACAATCTCATGAACGGGGTTTATATTTTAAAACAGTACACCTTAGGGAGTGAAAGTCAACCGTAACTAAAATAAAGTTTCAAAATAGTTTCAAATTAAGATATTATCACACAATCAAAACCAAATTCTCTACTCATATTAGAAAGCACCAATATTTAAGATAGACAAAATAAATCATCCATTCAGATGCACTTATAATTTCAAAATATAATAAATGTTTTAGATACTAAGATCTAAAGCTTACATTTAAAATACAGTATTTATTTACATTTTATTGTTTAACAAAAAATGCCTCTTTTGGAAATCTTTCCCCTACTTCATTTTAATTTTAAATATCACTTTTGAATTTTATAAATGTCAAAATTCAATTTATAGTATCTTGAAATCCCCTTAAAAGGAAGCTAAAAGAAAAAAAAAAACAGTCTAAAATAAAATCTATGCTTTTGCTTCTACTGATCCCCATTGTTATTGCTTTTCCCTTCTTCATTGTCATATGTAACAACACTGAGATTACATGAATTATTTCTGGATAAGCTATCTTCAAAAGGCAACTTCTATACATACTTACACATTCTGTGGCAGTGACTATTAGTGAGCTTGAAATAACAGATCGTCCTCCATTAAAACTCACTGAAACATCAAGAGTTCTGAAAGGAAATGAAGAAACAATAATTACAAATAAATTAAAAACTAGAAGATTATAGAATATTTTTATTTACCCAAATAAATCAAGAGTACTTGGGTGGTGCAAACAGTAAAAGCGCTGGCGGTTCAAACCCACCAGCCACTCCTCGAAAGGAAGGTTGGACAGTCTACTTCTGTAGTGATATGGCCTCAGAAACCCAAGGAGTTGTCGCTATGAATTGGGGCCAACTCGACGGCACATAACAACAACAACCAGCTAACACAAATGTTGGAAATTCCAGTAGACCCAAAAACTCCTCAGAAGAAATACCCAGCAATCTATTCCAAAACCATCAGCCACTGAAATCTCTATGGTGCACACTTACATTCTGACACATGTGAGGTGGTCATGAATCAGAATCAACTCTACAACAACTGGTGTATAATTCAAAACTGTCCAGAAAAGATACTCAAAGAGTAAGAGACAAAACTTTCGGTCAATAATCTTAGCTTTTTTCTTCCTTAGTTCCAAGTCCTTACTCAAGAGGCAATGGCAAATTCCTTGAGTGATCTAATAGTTCCTAAAAGAAGCATTAAGACAAATGGGGATCATTAAGAAATTCCTTAATCCAGAGATGTGCTGAAATTGCTTCAGCTGTACAAAAACAGAAAATGGAAGAAAAATTCCTTAGATATCATTTATATTCTTTTTCCCTGTCTATAGATAGAGGTACCTAAAGCATTTGACTGCTAACCAGAAAGCTGGCAGTTGAAACCCACCAGTCACTCCTTGGAAGGAAGACTGGGCAAATCTACTTCCATAGAGATACCGCTGCAGAAACCCATGGAGGGGTCACTATGAGTCAGAATCACCTTGAAGACAGTGAGTTGGTATAGATATTACAGTAAAAATGGGCAAGAGCTCAGCTACTAACAAAAGGCTACTAACAAAAGGTGGTTCAAACTCACCCAGAGCCTCTGTGGGAGAAAGACCAGACAATCTGCCTCTGTAGGAGCCCTTCTACTCTGTCATATGAGTCACTATGAGTCAGAATGGACTCCACGGCACCCAACAACAAAACAACAGATATTACTCTCATTGCAAATCATTGTTTAAGGATATAAAATTGGAATTTATAAGCCTTTCGAAGATAAGATATGGAGAAAGTGATAATGAAGAGAAACACAAAGTGAAGGAGAGATAAGGAGATTCATTTGTAGGCATTTGTTGTAGATAGTCCCAAGATATCCTCACAAAAGTAGAAAAATAAAATCATATTTGTCTATGGCTAAGAAATATCACAACTAAACTGTAGCTTTCATCTTGAAGATATTATTTCAAATTATAAAATAATTAATATTAGTTAAAAATTAATTAATTAAGAATCTCACTGAAACTCACTGCTGTCAAGTTGGTTCTGACTCATAGTGATCCCTCTTTGGGTTTCTGAGGCAGTATCCTTACAGAAGTACATTGCCCAACCTTCCTTCCGAGGAGTAGCTAGTGGGTCATTATTTGGATCATGCAGCCAGAAGTTGGGATGATGTTTGCCTTGTTAAATTTCTTAAATGACTGTAAGAGCTCTGGTTATGTAGTGGTTAAAGCATTTGACTGCTAACCAAAAGTTCAGTGGTTGGTACTTACCAGCTGCTCCATGGAAAAAAGATGAAGCAGTCTGGTTCCATAAAGATTTACAGCCTTGGAAACACAGGGGGAGATGCTGTGAGTCTGAATGGACTCAGTGGTAGTAAGTTTGGTTTGATTCTTTGGATAAGAAGGTTTTAAAGGTGGGGAGAGATGACAAGGAGATTTTAAAGTATATAGGGAAACAACTCTTTTTCCAAATACTTAGCACAGTATATTATCTTATGATAATAAAAACACAATGCACTGCAGTCAAGTCAAAGCCGACTCATAGCGACCCCTCCTTGGGTTTCCAAGACAGTATCACTACATAAGTAGATTGCCCAACCTTCCTTCCCAGGAGTAGCTGGTGGGTTTGAACTGCCAGCCTTCTGGTTAGCAGTCAAATGCCTTGGGCACTATACCACCAGAGCTCCTTCATATGATAATAGGTATGCAAATCAATGCTATCCATTCATTAAAGTAGAGAATAGTAGGTAATATTTTGTTAGTCTAGTTTATATAAAATACTATGCTTTATAAAACATCAAATTCCAATTCTTAGAACATATTATGAAATCCAAATATTAATATTCATAAACTTTGTCTTAATGACTGAATTAGTAGAATTTTTTTACATAGATTTCTTTTCTTTGCCTTAAATTGACTGTCAAGTACTACAACTTATGGGCAGTTAGTTATGTACAGAAGCAATCTCAAGAATGTTTAATAACTTTGGCAGAAAGGAAAGATGAGAAATATCATTCAGTACCTGTTTGCTATATCCCAGACCAGGAGCCCTGGTGGCACAATGGTTAAGCATTTTGGCTGCTAATTGCAAGATCAGAGGTTTAAACCCACCAGCCGCTCTGCAGGAGAAACATGAAGCAGTCTGCTTTCATAAAGATTAAACCAAAAAATCCAAACTCACTGCCGCCAAGTTAGTCCAATTCATAGCGACCCCTCCTTGGGTTTCTGAGCCTGTATCACTAGGGAAGTAGATTCCCCAACCTTCCTTCCTAGGAGTGGCTGGTGGGTTTGAACCTCCAACCTTCTGGTTAGCAGTCAAATGCCTTAGGTACTATGCCTTGGAAATCCTATGGGGCACTTCTACCCTCTTCTACCTTATAGGGCTGCTATGAGCTAGAGTTGACTCAATGGTAACAGAGCAACAGAGGATGTGCCAAACACTATCCTAGGCGTTTCATGGTCATTATCTCACTTAATTCTCACAATAGCCCTGGAAGTAAGTAGTAGTTTCACACTTTTACATGTGAGGTAACTGGGGCCCAGAAATGCTAATTATCTTGCCCAAGGTAGTAAAACTAGGATTCTAACCAGTTCTGAACTCTCTTTAACATATCACAAAGGCATGAGAAAATGAAAGGTCTTAATGTGTTTCTTTTGTTAACATGACATTTACAGTTTGCACAGAAATAGAGCTACCAAGAAAGATACTACTAGCAAAGTTCTAGCTAAACTTTTCTTCAAAATTCAAGAATACTCCCATTAAAGATATCTTGTAAAGGAGAAACAACAACAACAAAAAGTTTAGTTAAATCCAGAAAAGAATGAAAACTTGGGGTGTCTACATCAATTTAACTGAACTTCTAAACTATTCCAACACAGAATTCCAAGTGGCTTATTTATGAAAGAAACTTCAAACCTAACTGCTCAATCTGCAAACTAAGTGCCTTCTTTTGTTTTGTTTTTTTAACAACTAAGCATTATTTAATCCAAAAATAATTCTTCCATTTAAAGCATGTACTAGGAAGCATATGACAATCTAAGCATGGTTTTATTTTCTGGGAAGATTATTTTGATTATTAATAACATGTGATTGTTGCAGCTAATCTTATTACTTCAATGTTAAGGGATCAGTAGATACTGACTGAGGTTGTTTATAATCAGCACTTAGAGTTCACCAGAAATGAAACCATTCTCTAACTAATAAAAAATATTTGATTCTGTTGAAAGTTACTCAAATGCAATAAAAGATGAAAAATTTTAAATGTTTTTTCTCCTATAGTATAAATGTATGCTGATGAGATCTTATAGCCAATGAAAATAACTGCACCAAAAAAAAAATCCAAATCCACTTCCATCAAGTCAATTCTGACTTATACCAGCCACCATTGTGTTTCCAAGGGGTAAATCTTCACAGAAGTAGATTGCCCCATCTTCCCTCCTCAGAGTGGCTGGTGGGTTTGAACCATTGACCTTTTGGGTAGCAGCCAAATGCTTTATCCATTATGCCACCACCTTGTACCAGAGACTAGTAAGTGTCGAATAAAATTAAATCTCCCCAGATAGAGAAATTCACTCGATGATTCTTTAACACAGGGACTGAGTTAAAACAATATAAATCTTCACCTGCCTGAGAATACTAGCAGCATGATAGAAACAAACCATCAACAACACTAGTAATGGCATTTATTGACATCTTACACTCACTTTCCCATTTAAATCCCATACCAATCTACTGAAGTAGGCACTACTATTATTTCCATTTTCTATACGTTGAAACTGAAGCTTAAAAAGGGTAACTTCTCCAAGTATTGTGCTTCTCTGATTCTGCAGTCAAAATGCTTAACATCTGTGCAATGTCATTTCAATTCTTCATAAATATTTTAGGGTCTTACATTTAAATTTTTCTCAATGGTAAAAGTTTAGTATCACTCTTCTAGTTTTTTATTTTATATACATATTTCTCAATGGTTAACGAGACTGGTATTTGCTATGCTAAGTCAATATATTTGTGAATACACACACACACACACACATATTCATGAAAATATTTGAAATTTGCTGAGAAAAAAATTCAGGAGTGTTGCAAGCATGAAAAATACACTCTAAAATTAATTGTTGCTTTTACATTTTTTTGTTTCCTTGTTGTTGTTGTTGTAAGGTGCCGTCAAGTATGCTGTGACTCATAGTGACCCTACGTACAACAGAACAGAAGAAAGTATTGCTCGGTCATGAGCCATCCACACAATCCCTGCTATGCTTGAGCCCATCATTGCAGCCACTGTGTCAATTCATCTTGTTGAATATCCTCCTTTTTTTTGCTGACCCTCTACTTTACCAAGCACGATATCCTTCTCCAGGGAATGGTCCCTTCTGACAACATGACCAAAGTAGATGGGACAAAGTCTGGCTATTCTTACTTCGAAGGAGCATTCTGGCTGCACTTCTTCCAGGACAGATTTGTTCATTCTTCTAGCAGTACATGGTATTTTCAGTATTCTTTGCCAACACCATAACTTGAAGGTATCAACTCTTCTTCGGTCTTCCTAAGTCTTTGTCCAGCTTTCACTGGCATATGAGACAACTGAAAATATCATGGCTTGGCTTGCTTCCCAACATTTTAAAGAGGTCTTTTGTGCAATACATATCTGA